ATAGTTTGCCTTCTACTCAGGTGTTCATGCAGTGTCTATTCACGCTGTCAAAGCCTACTACAGATAATATTATAAAAAGTCCTTTACTATCATTGTAGGGGGAAGATGACTGAGAAATTAAATTAGAGCACCAAACAGAGAAATGTTGTTTTATTCCAATCTGTCCTCCACCCCCAAATTAAAGACAAATAACCGAAGTTAAACCTGAAATAAACAACCCTTGCTCAGCTGCTCAGGCTTTCAGAAATGTTTATGAACCAATTTTTGAACAAAATGAATTCTCAGCATGAAACAGGCAGGGCTAATAAACTGATGATCAACTTTTTGAACAAGCAACAATTTAAAACACAGTCATTGTATCTGCTGCACGGTCTCTAACAGCAGATGAACGTTTATTATCAGAATAAAATCAAAAGAGAAAGAAACGTCAGAACTCTTGTTATTTTGTTATCTCATAATAACCACCACCTCTGCATCCCCCACATAATTTGTAGAATAACGTAAGTAAACAAATTCTCAATTGGCAGAAAACCTTCAAAAGCCAGAGCTAACTTCAAGGAACTACATTTGATGTAAAAACATCACCTGATAACACTTTGCAGCATGACTTTTCTGTGTATTAATATATGCAGATTGTACTGCTTACAAATCAAATATATAAGGACACACACTTTCTAGTGGAGGTTTGACTGTCTCATTCAGCAAGATATGTCCAATCTGTTTTAGCCATCCATTATCCCAGTAATTGATGTACCATGAATTTAATTATTTGAATATTTTGGCAATCACAAATCTAGTTATTTGCTGGAATTTGACACCTTTTCTTCAGCAAAACCCTTCTTCCATAAACCATTTTCTCAGTAAACATCTACCGATCTGCTTATGCAGTCTATCCTGGACTCAACTGCTGCATAGCTGTAGCCTAAACATTTCTTTTTAGTCTCTCTCTTTCTTGAAAAACTTGTCAACTGACAATAATTAAAGATATAAGTAATTAAAAAAGGATAATATACTATTTTTTACTAATGTGTAGTTAAATAGGAGATCGACTCCTAATTATATACTATGGGTAGCCAACCAGAGAAGACCTTTGAAGGAATTGATATCATAGATACGAGTCTAGAGAGGAAGGAAGGATTGAAATGGCAAAACTCTGTCCAAAATGGTAAAAGGGACTTCTTTTTTATCTGCAATTTGACAGGCATAACTCCATCATAAGAAAGTAGTAAACTGCTAGTGTAATATAATTCTGAACAAGACAAAGAGTTGTGTTCAGAAACTCCAAAGGGTCCAAAATGCTGCAGCCATATTGCTAACTGGGGCTGGTTACAGGGAACATATAGTTATCCTGTTACAGCAGCTCCACTGGCTGTTGTTTTATTTCTGGACACAAATCAAAGTGCTGATTCTAACCTATAAAGCCCTAAATGGACTGGATACAAGCTATCTAAAAGACAGCTCCCTCTATGATCCCTCTATGATCCTGCCCAGGCATTAAGATCATCAGGAGAAGTCTTCCTCTTGGTTACACCATCTTTACAGGTATGCTTGGTGCCAATTTGGGGTCCAGTTTGGGGATCGATTGGGATCTTAAAT